CGGGAGCGCGCGCTCGAGACTGTCCGTGAGCGACGTCTCATGGGGGAGGGGGACGGGCAAGCACACAGCGTGGTCTGTGGAGCGCGAGTGCGCGTGCGCGGCGCCGGTGGCGCGTGGTGGTGGGGGGCGCGCTCAGGCTGGCGATTGCGCGTGCGTACCACCGCGGCGCCCCTCCGTTACCCCCACCCGGTCCACCGACCGTGGCCGGCAATGGAGGCCCCGGCGGGGCCTGACCCCATGATGCGGCCTCGCGGGGACAGTGTCGGTCCCCGGACCTCCAGTCTCCTTCTTTTCAAATAAACCGGGGGCCCGTGGTCTCCCCAGGCCGCACAGTCTTCAACCAGGCGCGTGGTTCATTCATTCCTGCTCCCGCGCCCCCGGAGAGGGAAGGGACGGGGCCAAGGTCAGCCGCCGCGTGGCCCGCGGGCCGGACGAGGACGGCGGCCGGAGCCTAGTGTTCTGAGGCCCTGCCCATGTGTTCTGCACCTGCCCCCCCGCCCCGGTCTGGGAGGGACGATCACAGAGGGACACCCCCCAGTCCGTAGAGATGCCAGAAGGCTCCTTGACAGACCCTGCGGGGCAAGCTCTCAGCAGAGGGTGTGAACAGGACTTGACCAGTGCCATGCCCTGTGCTGGGCACCAGGGACAGGAGCAAGGGACAGAGACGCAGACCCGGACACAGTTACCACCCTGGGTGGCTAGAAACCTGTATAGGTACAGGGAGAAGGCAGCTGACCCAGCCAAGTCCAGTGAGGATGGTCAGGGTTTTGGAAAGGGGTGACGTCGTTTGTTTTGTCAGTGTTGTTGTCAGGTTTTCTGTTGGGCATTGCAGGGGATCTAGTTGAAAGTCATTCGGCCTCAGCTCTGGGGCTACCGTTTATCCGGGCTTATCTCCTCTGTAAACTCTAAGTCTGTCTGGCTAAACGCATCTGACAATCACGTCCGTGTCCTTGATATGGTTCCTTCCGTTTTTCCTGCTTCAGCCGCAGGTTGGACGTTTGGACCTGATTGCCACTGGTCTTATTGCACATCTGATCCCTTTTCCTACTGGAAGCTTCCTAATCTACACCTGTAGAGGAGGACACCTGTAGTGGATTGGTGGAGAGCTCTGGAAGGAAACAGACCTGGGGTCAAGTCCTGGCTCTGGCATCACTTCTTTTGTGATCTTAGACAAGCAGTGATAATGGTTTTTATCTGACTGGTAGGCATATTACACTTTAGTTTTGGAACTGGAGCAGACCTCCTGCAGGTGAAGTGTGCAGAGAGGGCCCCACTCCCCCCACCCCCAGCCAGGCATTCTGAGGTTCCGTTGGCTCCGACTGTTGCAGCTCCAGCTCCGTGACCTCAGACGTGCTGCTTCCCCTTTCCCAGCTCAGTTCCCCGTTTTATGAAATGGGTAGCGGCATCCACAAGTCACTGAATACATGAAGAGGCTGGAAGAGGCTGTCACATATACCATGGCCTGGTGTGGCGACACAGGGTCCTGGTACAGGGTGGTGGGGCCAGAAGAGGCATCTGCCCCAGCCCAGGTGGGAGAGGAGGGGCATTGAGCACTCATTTCCTGGGGCTCCCATGTACCAGACCTAGTGCTGGGTGGTATGCGGAAACTGGTGTGCATCAAACCATTCCTGAGGGCAGCTCAGAGAACCAGGAGGATGACATGTAATACACGTGCAATGGTGGAGGAGTGAGGGCTTTGTCAGAACATCCCTGGGAGCTACGGGAGCCCAGAGGGATGAGCGTTTGGCCAGGGTGGGATTTGAAGAACAGAGAGGAACTAGCCCAGAAAACCCTGAGGTGCACCTGAGTGGGACATGGTCAGAGTCCATGTCCAAGGCCACCAGGCAGCTGCAACAGATGCAGGTCAGCAGGCCTGGCCCTGTGCCAGTGGCACTCAACAGTCGTGAGTGCTTAGAGGTCTTCAACCCTGTTTTGTGAGCATGCACCAGGCGCTCCAGTTGCACACCTTAGCCCAAGTCTCATGCAGGGTCAGAATGTAGGTTGGCATCAGAGTCTCGCGTGCATGTTCTTAACTGAACGCCACCTCTGCTGAGTGGTTTCTTTCAGCTGCGGCTGGGCCTGGGGGAGGGGGAATAGAGGTGGTGTTGAAGGTGTCATGGGTGGGGTGGGGACTCTGGGCTCCCAATCTGATGGGGCACACTGCACACCAGGGCGCTGGCCAGTCCAGGGACTCCCAGGCCCAGCACCCTACTATTTTCCGGGAATGCCAGGTGCGGGTTCGGGGACAGTCAGGACCCAGGTGTGAGTGTTGTGATCAGGTGGTGGAAGGCTAGGTGAGCCACAGAAGGGGCCTCCTGACCCAGCCTTGGGGCAAGAAGGTGGGGGTGGCCAGGTAGCCACACTAACAGTGCTATTGCCCTGTCACAGGGCTGTTACCTCACAGCCGTCGAGCACCCAAACCAGTCCTGGACTCAGATGTGTCAGGCCCTTCCTTGGGGAGTTTTTGGGCTCAGTTGCTGCCTCTGCCTCTGCCTCTTGCTGTCTCCGTCTGGGCTCAAAGACTGGCTTCTCTCTCACACTGAGTGTGGAGTTCCATTTGGCTCACATCTCCTGAGTCTTGGAATGGGTGATGCTGGGGCCTCAGAGATGCATCAGACGTGGTCCTTGGCTTGAAGCTCATGGTCAGGCTGGTCAGAGAGTGGTGGGTTTCCTAGGCTGTCTGTGCTCAGGGTCTGTGCCACTTGTGTGGGGACCAGCCCCTGTGTGGGGACTAGCCCCTGTCCCTGGGAGTGGGTGCTGTGCTGGCTGCACTGTGGGTGCCCGGGGAGGTGGGGCTGGGCCCTGTGGTGATGCTGTAGAGGTAAGACAAGGATCCCTCCCTGAGACCTGGGGCTCCCCTGTAATAATGAAAGTTAAAAGGAGAAAGCGCTGAGCGTCCTAAGAGGAGAGAGGGAACCTGCCTCTGTGGTGTGGCAGGTGTGGATTTGCCCCTCCGCTCTTCTCCTTCTTCGCTGGATACCTTTGGACTTGTCACACCATTTCTCTAAACCTTGGTTTCCTCATCTGTGAACGAGGGATGGCAGTTCCAGCTGATGCTCATCAGGCATCTGGCTCTGTGTGGAACACTGATCATGCGTCATCTCATTCAACCTCGACAGTAATCCTGCGAAGATGAGAGGGACTTAGAGGGGAAGTGATTTGCCAAAGCCACGTGGCTGGTCAGTGGTAGGGCGCAATTCTGATGCTGGCCGCCTGCCTCAAGGGATTTGCCCCTTAGCCAGTACGCTGCACTTGCCGCCTCTCACCCTGTGGGGACTGGAGACTATGTGATTGGTAAATGCTGTCTGTTATCATTTAACCAGAGAGGGCAGTGGGAGCTGAGGGAAGGGAGGGTATCTGGGAGGGCTTCCTGTGGTAGGTGTTCTTCACCTTATTATTCTTGTTAGGTTTTGTCGAATCAGTTCTGACTCATAGTGACATCATGTAACAGAGTAGGGGTTCCTAGGCTTTAGTTTTTATGGAGGTAGATCACCACATTTTTCTTGAACTGAGCCAGTGGGTGGGTTCGAACTGCCAACCTTTCAGTTAGCAGAAGAGTGCTTAACCACTTCCTCACCAGGTCTCCTAACCAGGGCTTCAAAACGGTTCCGTTATGGCCGACGGAAACATGGGCAGCATATGTGTTGTGTAGCAACCAAATCTTCTGTGCATCAGCTTTTTACCTGAGTAGGAAACAGGCAGTGGTGCCCTGCTAAAAAATGGAGGCCACCCCACTGCTTTGAATGAGTGTTGTCTACAGTCTTTCAGCAGGGTACCACTGTCTGTTTCCTACTTGGGTAAAAAGCCGACACACAAGAGATTTGGTTGTTACGCAATACGTACGCTGCCATGTTTCTATCAGCCTTGTCTGAACTGTTTTGAACCGGTTCGAGCTCTGCTTCTGACATATCATTAGATAACCTAATGAAGGAAAAGATGGAGAAAGCACCTAAAGAGAGGAAGAGAGAGATAAGGGGGAGATCAGCACAGAAACAGAGGAAGAGGAGGATCACAAGGACTGTTTTGCTCAGCTCTGTGTCTCGAAAACCTGCATGAAGTGTGGACAGTGTTCTAGGGAAATGTCATCTACCAAAACTGGTGCCAGACAAGATGGAGACATGAGGACTGCTGTGCTGAGCTCTGTGTGTCTTGAAATGTCATCTACCAAGACTAATATCAGACGAGATGAAGATCACCATAGAGGAAACAGGAAAAGTTGCCATAGAGTTTCCCAAGTCCCTTCCCCAGATGGTGTCACCAGGGGGACCCCCAAACGTTTAAACAACAGGTCTAAGGTGGTGAGGGTCCAGCTCTGGCCCAGTGGTTGAGTGGGTGTGGACAGATGCGGGACATGGGACAGATGTCGGTTCTACCCAGGTTGGAGATCCAGGTGGGAGGCAGGTGCGCCTGCGAACCAGGGCTGCCCTACTATGAATGAGGGATAGAGTTGCTCACAGGAGATGGGTGGGAGGAGGTGGTTAGGGAGAGCAGAAGGATTTCCCTGCAGACACAATGGTTCCATCCGAGCCTCCTGGGGGGTGTTCAGCTGTTGGCCATGCGAAGCTGAGTAACCAAAGAGAAGAGACGGCAGGTGGGGACTGTAGTTTCTGGGCACTGGCCTCAGTGAGGGCCTGGTGCTGGCCCTCAGGGAGGTTACATGGGGAGGAGCTGACCCAGACCCTAAGAACCCTGAAAAGAAAGCTGAGCCAAGGTGGGAATGACTGCTAGGA